TGAAGTTTACCTCCTCTGTGTTTTGGTTGTCAGAATTATTCTTTTTAAGCATTTTGGCTTTTGAGACACTGAGTCCAGATAACGTGAACTGGCTTCTACAACGATTGTAGCAAGGATTACAGATTTGATGTTGCGCATCACTTAGTGTTTCCTCAGGGATGTAATAGAAAGAATTTTCTTTGATTCGGCGAGTGCACAACGAGCAGTATATTGGTTGTGCTGGGAACAGGAGTGCACCAGCACCACACAACTGACATAGTTCTTCCTTGAGGTCACACATTTCTCTCATTTTGCCCTGTGGAACAAATGATTAATAACGAAACAAATTAAAAGACAAGCGAAAAGAAATGAGAAGGCCAAATAATTGTTACCTGACTACTTCCCTCCTTAAGGCTCATTATATGCAACTTTATTTCTTCTTCTGTGAAACGTTCGACCAGTGAGACATCTCTCTTGTTACGCTTTCCCAGAGACATTGTGTCACCATTAACCTCACACTTGGTCCCTTCATCACATTTCATCGGCTCAACAATGTCCACTCCAAATCCCGGTTTCTTATGGTTCATCTTATGGTTCAGAGGCTTTTTCTCTGCTTGGATTTCTCTTTTCATGGGAGAAACCAGATCCTTGAAAGAATAAACCTTGGTTACATTTGCTCTTGCTGATTTTATACTTTTGCTAGTACTAAGACCCTGAACATGCTTCTTATCCAATGGAGAGTTGTCCATCACATCTAGCTTCGTTATATCAGAACATACGCTGATGGTGTCAGATACTTCACCAAGAACAAAATTGCTACTAACCGGCAATGGGGATGTAATGAAACATCTGTTAGCATATGAAGAAACCTCCTCAAAACTTGTCAGTGGAATGGACATTTTCTGCTCTGCAACAAAATTAGCAGGGAGAGTAAAGTCGGGAGATAGCTGAAGAGAAGGAAGTCTGGATGAATCGTCCCAAGGAGTAATATTCAACTTTATCGGTGTTTCGATTCTCTGTCGCTTTGACCAATGATAACCAGTTTCTGACTGAAATGGTCCTCCAAGGGACTGCACCTCCTGCACCTCACCAGACCTAACATGTAACTGTCTTGGTATTCCGATATGATAACTACCATTTGACTGAGATTTTCTGGATCCAAGATACCCGACCTCTTTATCAGTTGTAACTTTCAAATCTGGTAGCATGTTCAACTGCTGATTTAACTCATCAATATCTGATTGACCAGGCGCCGGGCTAAGATAGGTAGGCATCAAGTCCTTCCTTTTAGGCGGTGGCATCATGATAACCGATACAACATAGATGATGGATTGGAAACAAGTGAGTTTAAATATCCCCTGCACATTTCAACAAATTGAACATTTTGTCAGGAATATGCATGTGATTATGGTGTCACTAGAAACAAAACAAGAACAGAGAGATGTGAGAGGAACTCAAACATGGATAAAATCTTAGATTGATTTTGCTTGTTGCACAAGTTATACTAAGTGTTGGAGATTAACTACACATTAAGAAGAACTAACAGGGAACCATCCATAATCCACCTGAAATTAACCAATTCAAAGTCACACTCGATTACACAAGCTAAAGCTTAGATAACGATTTGCATGTTCTGAACAAAACAATTAACTTCATAAACTGCTTAAAAATTTTGATGTCCGTACGAAAATCCCCAAATCGATTGCAACATTGTCCCCCAAATCCTTAAAACCCTAAGTTCGGAACCCTGATGATTGATGCTTCAAGCGATCGCGAAACCCTAATTAAAGCTACAATCAAAATTCAGCGGACAAAACACTTGTTAATCCCGACACACACAATCATGCGAATTGCTCGAAGAAGAAGAACACAAACGAAACCCTAATCGAGAAACGAAGCAGAGAGGAAGAAAGTTCGAACCTTTTTCTTTTTCGAATTGGTTTCTTCAGAGCTTGGTTCGCGCGCAAGGGAAGAAGACAAAGAAAAGATGTTGAAAAAGGGAGAAAGTCGCTCTCTCACTTTGTTTGGTTGATCTCTCTGTAACCTTTGTAGGGTTTCGGCAATTTCTTAATGTTGATTTTAAGCTGTAAATTATAGCAACTTTATCTGTAATATTTAATTTTTTTGGGCTTTTTTCTGTAAATAAAATGTCTTCACTCTTTAAGAAGTTGAGTTTATTTTTATTTTATCTATTTTAATTTTTTTTATATCGGTGCTTATTTCCTAATGTAGTTTGGTATTTGATATTTTTTTTATTACTCAAATTTATTTACTTTCATAATTTTATCTACTATCATCTTACCTTGTTATTATATACACTTTGGTCAGTGAATTAGTACTGTCCTTACCAAGTACCATTGTCTTTTCTTCGTTTATGATCTTCAATATTCGAATTGATAAATATTGCTGTACTCTTTGTTTTAAGTTTATTTAATGGACAACCATAATGAATAACAAAATAGTTTATAATGTAGTCGATTTGTCACTGCAAACATTCAACATCGGTGATTAATTTAGAACATAGAAAACTTGGACATTAATATGTATTATTATCTATAACATTAAGTGATCACTGATGGTAGTGATCACTGAACTAAGTAACTCATAAATCTGATTCACGTTCTATCAAATTATCAGTTCCACATAACTTCGGGTATCTCTACAAAACAAATGATCAGGTTCCCAATAATAACCTTGGCACCTCGCAAACTAGACTCAGAACAAAAACTTCCACATTGATGGATATATTACAACACGGTGGTTTCAGTCCTAAGGCCAAGGACGTAAACTCATTACAACCTCGGGTTTGAATCACAATGTGTAAACACCGCGCATGGACCACTTAGGCCGTGGTGGGCTTACATCTAACTATTTTTCCCAAAGCATCTGCTCATAAGTAATAGGATGTTTTGGCGAAACCTAGATATCCAATGCTAACTCTACCATATATCTATCCTACATTCACTCGTTAATTCATCTTCGGCTGCTAAACCTATATGGATCACTATCCACCCTGCCCCTGAGATATGAATCATTCAAAGAGTAATACCTGTTAAGTCTTTCAGACTCTGATTTTTCGGATCCCGGGCTTCTTGGTCTTGAAGCATACCCATGATCATATCTAATGCCATACCTTGGAGGATAGCTCGAAGACAGTTCAACACCTGGAGGGCCAACCTCGCCTCTATGATCTTGGGGTCGATGGTGATTAAGATAAGAAGCATGTACTGTGTTTTTCCTCTCCTGCCATAGCCACAAATCTGCATTTTCTGGGATGGGTGCGTTAATCCCCGGAAACTCAACTGTCATTTTCATTTCCGGCTCTGGAGGGCTTGCTCTTTCCGAGATTTCACCATCCTCAGTCTCTACTTTTTCTTCTGCTTTAGTATCTTCCTCACCAAATATAGTGATTCCAGAGAGATGATCATCTTCCGCAACTACATATATATAAACAGAAAGCAGAGACAAACTAAAGCGTGAACAAAGATGCCTT